AAAGTCCAGGACTTCATCAGTGACTTCTACCAAACATTCAAAGAAGATTTAATACTTATTCTCCTCAAAATCTTACAAAAAATTGAAGAGGAGGCAATACTTCTCAATTCATTTTACCAAACTCTGGTAAAGATAACACAAAAAAAGAAAACTACAGACCAATATCTCTCATGAACACAGATGTAAAAATCCCAAATAAGATACTAGTGAACCAAATACAGCAACATATTAAAAAGATTATACACCACAATCAAGTAGGCTTCATCCCAGGGGCACAACATACGCAAATTGATTAATGTGATACACCACATAAACAAATTTAAAAATAAGAATCATATGATTATATCAATAGATGCAGAAAAAGCCTTCGACAAGATACAGCATCCATTTATGATCAAAACACTTAACAAAATCAGTATAGAAGGAAAGTTCCTTAACATAATAAAGGCCATCTATGACAAACCGTCATCCAACATTACACTTAAAGGTTAAAAACTAAAAACCTATCCTCTAAGATCAGGAACAAGACCAGGATGTCCACTATTGCCGCTGTTATTCAATATAACATTGGAGGTCCTAGCGAGTGCAATCAGGCAAAAGAAAGATATAAAAGGCATCCAAATAGGAAACAAAGAAGTCAAACTGTCACTTTTTGCAGATGACATGATTCTTTCTATAGAAAGCCCTAAAGACTCCACAAGAAAACTAGAAACAATAAGCACATACAGTAAAGTTTCTGGACACAAAATCAGTGTTCAAAAATCCATAGCTGTTCCTATACTCTAATAACGAAGTGTCAGAAAAAGAAATGGAAAAACAATACCTTTTGCACTTGCAACAAAAAGAATAAAATACCTAGTAATAAACCTAACGAAACATGTGAAAGACCTATATAATGAAAACTATTTGACCATATTAAAAGAAATCAAAGAAGGAGTGGCTCCATAGTGTAGTGGTTAGCATGTTTGGTCCTGGGTTCACATCCCGTGTGGAGCCACGGACCATACCCCCGGTGCGCCAGGCCCCAGGTGCGTGCCGTGAGTGCATGGGAGGAGACGCCCCACCTTCGGAGATCCAGTTCTTAAGGGGAGACGGCAACATCCGTAGGTCAGGGGTGCCGCCCTATGACACATGGTAAGAAACCTGCTCACTCGTGCCTTGGGGTCCAATAAGCCTGGGTTCGGGGGTGGACAAACCTTGTTCACCTCTGGAAGATGTTCATTTCTGAGCCTGAGTGTCTCAAGTGCACAACGGGGCCAGAGCAGGACGGACCTGGCCGGGCTGTCGGGAGGGCTGAACACGCAGTGGATGCAGAGAATTTTTGTACGGATGTCAGGTGCGGTGTGCTTGGCTCTGGGGCGCTGCAGAGACTACAGAACAATCACTTCTTCTCTTACTGTCACCATAATAATGTAAGCTCCTTTTGGGCAGAGACCAGAGTTCCTATCACAGTCTGCAGCACGTGCCCCATGCAGTGTGGGACACACGGCACTGCTCCGTGTTCATTAAAACGAACTCCTAACGCCCTGCGGTTGTCTGTCTGTAGCAACAGGGTAAAATATTAAGTCATGACTGAAGAGTACACCCTGATTATCTGCTAACCTGTGACAGCAGAGAGCAGAAATGACAGACAGTAGAAACGAAAAGCAAATGCAACCTTCATGAAGGTCTAGGAAGTGCAATCATTGATTTTAATGGCAGGTAAAGCATGGCCAAGATCCTAAAACAAGGTGGAACACAGAAGTACATTTCTCTGCACTTTCAAAAGAAACAGGATTTGTTAGTCTCTTAAGAGGCATACAGACAGCATGGTGAGCGCCCCATGCCTCCATGTACTTTTTGTCTGCGGGGGAGAAAAAGTTCCATGAAGCCTTTTTGGGTTGAGATATTTGGGTGTTCTGTTTACTTCTTGAATTCCAAGCTCCAGCTCATTCCTTAGATTTGGGACATTCTTGTCCACTATTTGTCTGAAAATGCTTTCTAGTCCCTGCTCCTTTTCCTCACCTTCGGTAATGCCCATTATTCTTATGTTTCCTCTCCTGATGCTATCAGCTAGTTCTTGTATTTCCCTTTTATTATTTTTCATTCTTTGGTTTCTCTCTTCTTTCTTCTGATTTATTTCTAGATTTCTGTCTTCAATATCACTGATCCTTTCTTCCATTTGGTTGACTCTATTTCCGAAGCTTGCAATTCCTTTTTTCATGTCTTGCAGTGTGTTTTTCATCTCCAGAATTTCTATTCGGTTCTTTTTTCTTTTTGAAGGTTTCAATCTCCTTGCTATAGAACTCATTCCGCTCATCTAGTTATTTTTTCAATTCCTGAAATTATTGATATGAATTGTTTTTTCAGAAGTACCGTCCTGAATTCTCTGTCATTTAGATCACGTATTTCTATGTCTGTAAGCTTATTTTCTGGAGATTTTCCTCTTTCTTTCTGAGCTGCCTTGTCACCTTAGTTGTTCATGGTGTTTAATGGACTATTCTTCCATCTGGGCATTAATGGAATTATATTCTGCGTTTTTTCCAAAAAAGATTTATTACATAAAGGTCTCTCCTTAGCTTGTTGCAAAGAAGGCATCTCTATTTTGGTTTCCAGTAGATGGCACCGAAGCCTCTTGGATCCCTGCTTTACATAAAGTCTTAATAATGCATTTTTTTTTCTTATAGATCGCTATTCAGTCATGCTCGCTACCTTCAGTCTCAGTCCCTGTCATGTTAGTGACAGTTTCGGTAGCATTTGCTCAGATTCTCTTGGGGTTCTGCAGTGTTCACTCTTTGAGGATATGGGGAGAGGGACCCTCTTAGTTAGGGGATGGGGGCTGTGGCTCAGCCTTGCATTTTACAGCCGTGGTTGGTAATAATCAACTGTTGTTTCTTTACCATCCCACTTCTCTCCTTTGTGCTTTCTTTCCTCTGTCCCCTCCTCTGTGCTTTCTTTCCTGATCCCTGGGCACTGTCGCCTGTCGCCCGGAGCTCACAGCTCTACTAGGCAGGGCTATTCCCAGAACCCACTGCACCTGCTCCCTTTTCAGGGAGCTCCGACTGTGAGAGACAATTTCTTTTTTTTCCCTGTCCACTAGCCAATTCTCAGGGTTCTGACCTGTGGTAGTTCTTATGCACAGATCCCACACTCAGATGTGCCAGTATGAAGTTGGGGTGTTTTTTGGAATTTTTGATGTTCAGCTTATTGGTTTCCAGGGGAGAGATCTTGGGATGTCTCTCTGCCATGTTTCTGATTTCACTCCCCAAATTCACATTTTAAATAGAGTCTTTATCTTGACCTGGAAATAACTTCGATGTGTTCCAGAAAGTCCTTGGAAAGTCTCAAAAAAATTTTTGTTCTCTCTTTTTATAAAATAGATATTAAACTAATCAGACTTATTTGGTATGTTAAATTGCATGGGAAGCATTGTCAAGTAAGTGATGATAAACTTCTAGGGTATATTGTATAGGTAAAGAATGGCTGTAAATTAAACAAATAGTTGTTGCTATGGAAAACCTTAAGATGGCAGCTTAGTTCTGCCAGGTTCCCTGGCAAATCCCATTTTTTTTTTTTTTTGGTTTTTGTATTCTTTATTCTCCACAGTGTATTGAAACTGGATTTTATTCAGCTGGCACTACGTATGGGTTATCAATATGTTCTTAATGTTGCATGCATATTTTCTGTAAGAGTTGAATCCATCCTCTGCTTCAAGGCTGATGCCCTCACAGTGACAAAAAAAATTGTTAGAAAATCCATTTTCCATTTGGGGTATACCTTCCACAATCTCTAGTGATTGAGGCACCCACTTTAATGTGTAAATCATATGAGCCATGACGAAGACCTTGCAAACTTCTTGGAATTATCACTGTCTTTATCACCCTCAATCATCAAGCAAGATCAAAAGAACTAATAGAAAAACTACATTCAAGCAAAACAAGTCTTAATTACATGGGACTGAATGAATTGATTATAATTGATATAAAATATCAAAAGAATGATTATAATTTTCATGACTTTTCATTTGAAATATTGCTGGTTCCTTAATTTTTGTGTTCGTTTTTCCAAATATGAGGAAACCTTTCCTCCTAAGCTAACTATAACATAGAACAACTTGGTAAATTATACCTTTGTAAACAGAACTGAAACATTTCTCTTTTTCTCCCTACTTGAACTCTCCAGAATTCAGAAAGTCTGATTATTCTTATTTTCATGGTAATATTTTTATTTGCATAAATTCAATAAGAATCTGTTCTCCTTACATAGGACATAATTGGAAACTGGTTTTATTACCAAGGCTTTGTCTGGAATGTGAAATTAGAGAAACATGCATAGACGCAGTTATGACCAAACAGCTTTAGGGAATTAAGATTGATTTATGAAAGCCAATAAAACCCTTGGAAATATTGGCTTGGCACCTTGTTTACAAGATTCCTGGTAGCCTTACCAGGTGAGTGAGAAAGGTTATTTCCTGGCAGGTGCAGGAACTTGAAGATATTTTTGGTGATTTCAAGAAGAGAAGAACTCACCCAAATTTATACATATTGCAGGCAAAGTTGTATGGCAAGTACTTGCCTTGTTTTTTTTTTTTTGGTCTTGAGAGGTCATTTAAAGTTCAATTTGAAGAGTTCTTATGAAAAATTCCAGTAAAGCAGATTTAAAAGAGCCTATATGATTAATTATTATTATTGCTGCTCTTTTGTAAATAACAGTACAAGTCTAGTGAAACTAGACTTATTTTGCAAACAAATTAGTCTTATTTTGGTATCTTGGGTAAAAATGAGGGTGACTTTAGAGGGAAATAATTGTTTCAGTAGAAACTATAATATACATTTGTGGACATTAAGGTTCTAGTTAATTGTCTTTGAAGTTTTTTTTTTTCTACCTGTAAACTGGACTGGGTCCTGAATTCTAGTTTCCTCAAATATTTGGCTACAACTCTCCAAATTGAAGTTTCTAATTTTCTCTCACCATTTTGACTTGGAATCAATGAGAACAAAAACTTTTCTTTTTTTTCAAAGCCTTGCAAACTGAAACGAGACAACTTGATATAAACTTCAGAGAAATCTCCACAACAGCTAATATATGGACAATCTTCAAGCCTATTGCAGAAAAAGCAACAGAGACGTTCAAACTGCAAATGAGGAAAATCAAGCAGATTGTCACTGCTTGCCTTCACTCTATCAAAAGATGTGTCAACCCTGACATTTAGAAATCTTCTTGACTGGCTGCAACCTTGGCTCTGAAACTGTTTTATAACTCTTCTAGTCATTAACCATTGTTTTTTGTTTGTTTCCACGGAAATGACTCTTGTTAATTATCTAATTGCTTGCATAATATAGGCCTAACTTTGGGACCCTACCTGCAAGATCATCTCATGAAATGAGATACAACTATTTAACTAAACTGTTATATTCTCAAGACTGAGACTGGTTTAATGCAAGATGGAACAATCTATCAACTTAGCTTCTGGGATGTGAAATTTCTTATTTGAATTTTCAAATGCGAGAATGTGAGGGAGCAGAATTTTTCACCCCAAAATATATTATTTTAGGGTGGTTCTTGTGGCTAATCTATTAATCAAATTGACATGTTGCAAATTAGCAGGAGAAAAACAAATTAAAGTTTAATAACATGTATACCTCCTGTATACATGGGAGAGATCCAGGAAAACTGAGTAACTTACCAAAATGGTGGAAGGCACCACCTTAAATACCACTTTCAGCTAAAGACAAAAGACTTTGAGGGTGGAAAGCCAGTTATGGGAAGTCACCAGGAAGAGCAAAGTAAACAAGGGTAAGAGTCTTATGCAGATTTAAGTCCTTGCCATTATCTCCATTGGTAGAAGTTTCTAGAGATTTAGATATTTTCTTCCTGGGATGGTGAGGTAAAGACCCTTACAAAGGAGATTTCCCTTAGAAATGTAAATGTCCTTTCACATAGGCTAACTTATACTGGGTCTTCAGAGCTTCTCCCATGTCTGCAGTTTCTTAAAATTAACTGGCCTGAAATAATATTTCCAGAGCGGCATATTTTGAGGCAGTAAGCTCTGCTCCCGTTCATAGTCTCCTGTATGCTCCAGAAGGAAGTGGAATAGGATACTGGTTAGTGTTAATAATGTGGCTCAAAAAGAGTAAGACCAAGGCACACCCAAAAAGTGGTCTCAACAGGCACACGAGCCTGCAGGGATGAATCCCAGTCTGTGGGGTAAGCCCCCACACAGCAGCTCATACAATGGGGCCATGAATGTAAAGTATAACATAAAGAATATAGTCAATCATATTGTAATAACTATGTATGGTATCGGATGGGTGCTGGATTTATCAGGGTGATAATTTTGTGAGTTATAGAAATGTCTAATCACTATGGTGTACATCTGAAACAAATGTAATATTGTATGTCAACTGTAATTGAAAAATAAAAATTATTTTAAAAATTAGTTAAAAAGAATCCAAATGATGAGGATAGTTCTGGGACAACATTAAAGATACCAACATTTGCATCATAGGAGTACTAGAAGAAGAAAGAGAGTAAGGGATTGAAATCCTAATTAAAGAAATAATAATGGAATACTTCCCTAACATGGCAAAGAATATAGACATACAAGCCCAGGAAGTGCAGAGAGTCCCAAACAAGATGAATCCAAAGAGGTCCACACCAAGACATGTCATAATGAAAATGCCAAAGATTAAAGACAAAGGGAGAATATTAAAGGCAGCAAGAGATAAGCCATTAGGTATCTACAATGGAGTTCCCATAAGACTGTCATCTAATTTCTTAAAAGAAACTTTGCAGGCCAGAAGGGATTAGCACGAAATATTCAAAGTATGAAAAGTAAGGAACTAAAACCAAGATTACTCATCTCAGCAAGCCTATCATTTAGAATCAAAGGACAGATAGCTTCCAAGACAAGAAAAAACTAAAGGAATTCATTACCACCAACTAGTATTACAAGTCATGTTAAAGGGACTTCTTTAAGAAAAAGGGGAGTGACATCAGAAACATGGTGGAGTAAGAGACATCCTCAGATCTCTCCCCTTGAAACAACAATAAGCTGAACATCTAAAACCCACCAAAAAAAAAAAAAAAACCCAAACTGCACACCAGCACGTCTGAGCCTGAGATCTGCTCATAAGAGCTACCACAGGTCAGAACCCCGGGTGTTGGACAGTGGACTGGGAGAAACAAAGAAGCTACCTCTCACAGACGGAGCTCCCTGTAGGAGGAGGGGAGGGGAGAAGGTGCGGCGAGTTCCCTGAATAACCTTGCCTAGAAGAGTTGTGAGTTCCAGGGGGGCAGCAACAGGGCCCAGTCATCAGAGCAAAAAGCAGAAAAGCAGGGATGGCAGAAAAACAACAGTTGATTATTACCAGCCATCGCTGAAAAATGCAAGGCTGAGCCGCAGCCCCCATATGCAAATCAGTTAATGTGATACACCGCATAAACAAATTAAAAAAGAAGAATCACATGATTATATCAATAGATGCAGAAAAAG